TCAGTCTGTTCTGCAGGTCCCTGTTGCGAATAGCTGTACTGCTGCCCCAAGGAGTGAATCACAGCATATGAATCCTGTGACTCGTGGTGTCAAGCTAGGAGCAGAGAAGTCTAGCGAGCAAGGTGGGGAGAAGAGAGCGAGCTCTGCGTCACCCCGTAGGGCCCCAGGCTCCTGGCTTGCTCCAAGCGTGTTCTGTGCTGGTGCTTGGAAGCTCTGGGGACTGTTTCCTGAAACCAGTTGGGCTAATGTTGTTGTGAAACAAGCACCATGTCAGGTAACGCGGAGTTGATTAATTGCTAATGTGGGTGTTTGTACATAGCACTGAAGACTTGCAGCCTGGTTCCTGGATGGGGTGATGTGATGGGCGACTCCCAGGGTGATGGTAAGGAGGATTTCAGGGGGATGAATCTGCTGGGAAAAAGTGTCCAAGCTCCTTTGTTGGTTTTCCCCCTGCAGCTTTGCCTGTCCTTGCTGGGAAGAAAAAGCTGGCATCAGGAGAGGAAGCAGGTATTTGTGAGCTCCTCGCATRGAGCTGGGTGCAGACACCTTCCTTGCTCGCCCAGCATGAGCTCTGGGTGCTCTGGACCCCTCACTCTATGTTCACAGAGGACATGCATCCTCGGGGTGACGTGTTCACTAGCACACTGCCTGTTTGCTTCCCCCCTCCTCTTAGGATGCTGTTCATCGCTGTGTGTAAACAGATGTCCCTAGTTTTGTTTGTTTTTTTTTGTATTTTTTTTTCCTGTTCTATATTTATAGAGCTTTCAGAGGAGTTTGCAAGCTATTGTCTCAGCCTCAGCTATACAAATCCTTTCTAAACAAATCCCGCCCCAGCCACCCATGTGCTGTTCCGTTCTGTGCTATTCCTGACTYCTGATTTTCTTCCCTCCTGGTCTGGGGTTTGAAGCAGCAGACTTGTTCTTACTTGTTGTCTCCTGCCTCTGCATTTAGAAAGGGTTTGKGGCTACCCCATGGGGCTGTCAGCTCCAAAATATTGCTCCCTATCCTGACTCCCTACAGCCTAGATAGGAAATTGCAGTGGGGTGTATGCACCCTACCTCCTTGGATACGTGTGATAGTGCTGCTCTATCTAAAACAGCACTAAATAGGACTGAGATGCTGCTTATCTTTCCATAATCTGTCGTGTGGACATGCGCCCTTGCAAGTCTCTTGGGGCTTTAGGATGCACGTGGGACATAATTGTCCAGATGTTTCACCACACAATCACATCTGTCACAGGCTCTTTAACATGCAGTTTCCTGTGTAGTTGCACAAATATTGGAAGAGGGAACATGTCTGCGAACTGTAAGCTTGTRGGAATGTCTGTAAGATGTCAGTGTACAACTGTAATTATTGATATCAAATAGAGACTGGGCTAGCAAACAGATGTTAGAAAATATATTCATGACTTGCACTGTGATTCACAGGAAAATTGCCATTCTGTTACTGGTTTCCTTCTTGCTCAGTAAAATTTCATGTAATACCCACTAAAAAAGRATGAATTTCAGGCAAGTAGTATGTTTTTTTCCTTGTTCTTTTTTTCTTTTTTTTTTAATAGGCTTGTTAGCAAGAATTACCAAAATTGGAACAACTTACCACTTCTGCATTTTCTGTGATGATTCACATCTGATACCTGAGTGTCTGGGCTTTAACCCCTCCACAACCTCACTGCAGGCAGTGACTTTGGAGAGGCTCCTACAAAATCTTACCAAGTTGCTGGAAGGTCAATTCAGGGAGTAGTGGGAGGCAACAAGAATTAGGATATTTGCAGGCCACCTGGGCATGCAAATCCTGATCTGTGGGTGCCTGCTGRTGGTCATTTGTCCTGATAAATGATATTTTCTCCCCTGTGCCTGTGCTTTGCACAGAGACTAGAYAGGCAAGGCTTTTGCTGCTGTTGTTGCCAACAGGTGCTGCTTTTCTCCAAGCCTCCTATCTTACCTGGCTTGTAGCCTCCGATAAGCACAGCCTTGACTCAAAGCCTGGTTCTTTGTGTCTAGTGCTTGCCAAGTCCTCTGGAATGTGGGACCTGAAACAACCTTTTCACAAAGGGAAAAGTTTGCACAGAAGCCCTCCSTTCCCTTCCTTCTGTCCAAAACCTCGCTGCATCCTTGCAATTAGCTGCATTCCAGACATACCGGCCGAGGATGGCTTGCAAAAGTGTCTCAAATGGACTGAAATAGCTCATGTTCTAACTATCCTTCCTATAATGCGAATTTTCTTCCAGTGCATTCCAGAAAAGGGTACTCTAGTCCTCCAGGGCTTGYTCCTCCTAAAATTACTCACGGAGATACCAGCTCCTTTCACTGCAGGGAGCTGCATCCAAAGCGCTTGTCCACGTCTCCATTATCTCCATGTTCCTTGCAAAGCTCTGTCATCTAAGGAATTTGGTTTGAGGGGTTATTTTTGGCTTGTTGCTTCTTTTCAGTTGGGGAAGAAAGTTGATGGAGAAACAACGTTAGGAGCAGATTAAAAGCTCTTTGGGTTGCTGAATTCATGCAATTTGGTAAGGAATTTATTTTTGGATGCAAGTTGCAGTTGCTTGGGGCTTTGTTTCTGAGGGCTCTTCATGTTTTTTAGGCAGGCTGGAGTTTGGCACAGCTATACAGAGTCTGACCAGATGGGCTTCTCAGTATGATTCACCAGCATAGAGCAAAGGTGATGCCAGATACTTTACCTGTGATGGAGCTGGACTTTGTACCTACGCCCTGGTGCAAACCCTGAATTAGCAATGCCCAGTTCAGGCCCTAGTTCACCTCTGTGCAGCAGWCTTGCTAACACCCATGAGTCTCCAGCCTTCCTGATCACCCCCAAAGCTCCAGGGGCACATGGGTGACACAAGAGGAGGTCTTAGCCACACTTACATGAGCCTCAAGCCTCTAGGTTGCTGGTTGAGCTCCTGGCCTGTTCTCCAGACAAGTGGGGAATAGGTTAATTTATCTCTTAGCACTTGTGCAGCTGCTCTTCCACAGTGTTTAACCATACGGAGCATTTTTGGATGTGTTTGATGTCGTCGGTGGATCTGCCCCATCCCTGGTGATGTGGTGTGATGAAATGGGAGTGTTTTGGCATGAATGGCTGAGATAACGTGCTCCTACCCACCAAAAATGTTTTGCCAAAAGGGACAGAAGAGCATTAGCATGAGTTGGATCAGTCTGCTTGGCATGTAGGGAGCAGAGGAGCTATTTGAAGCTGGGCAAGATGACTTGGGATCCTCTTAGCATCTCTACAGTACCAGAGCTAGCACCGGGAGTTGTGGTTAGGAGGTGATTTGGGGGAGCCTCCCAGGRAAACATATGTGCATGCAGTGGGGACAAATGCAGGCTGGGGACAGCTCGTTCTTCCTGTGACCCACCAGCTCTGTGCTCCTCAAACCTCCAGCCTCTCAGCCACGTGATGTGCAGCTAAAAATACCCCTGCAGCGCCTCCTCCTCRTGACCAGCCGAGACGATGACGGCCTTGCGGCTTTGCAAGGGCCATGGGTTGGTTTTGGAGCGTGGTCTGAGCGGGACGCTTAGCACGTGACTGCTCTGCAGCCAGTTTCCTGCCCCGAGCTCTCTGGTGTCCCGCTGGAGCAAGCGGTTTTCAGAGGAACTTCCTGAGCCCACGCCCACTTCCACGAAGCGTTGGCTCTTGTTTGCTGTTGTCATCCTATTACTTGGATCTCGTGGTMACTTTGCTGGGGTGGAAGCTCAGGTCGCCTTCAGCAGTGTTGTGAGTTATTAGAAGAGCGGGTCCCTATGTAGCTATTTTCTGAATTCATTGCAAGCACCTCCAAGTCTTGTATATTTTGGGTTTGATGTAATCAAAAATGGAAGAAGGCAAGAGAGCAGGGAAGACCAGGGCAGTATGAAGTTGCAAGACAAAGGAAAATCCATTTTACTGCAGAGGTTTGTATCAGTTGGTGAGGTCCAAGGCTGGTTTCATCTCCAGCTGGTCTCACTGGTGAGGTCCAGGGTTGAGACGGAAGGCACTGGCAGATGTGACCATGAAGGTTCTGCTCTTTAGCCTGCTGATCCACTGGTATCTCTTGTTCATTGTGATTTCCTGTGGATTTGTTGCCTCTGAGATCAGTCACTCCACAGACACCTTGCAAACTGTTTCTATAAGATGTTGGCCTCAGCTGTTTTTATTTTTGCCTGTGAGGCACAGAAGACTAAATAGAGGCAGAGGGGGCAGGTGTCAATAGTGCTTGTGAATCCCTTGTCTGTCTTGGGATCCCTGGAAGGAACAAGCGGGAAGAACCGCTGCTTCTTTCAAGAAGAGCCTAATACTGTGGCAGGAGGCAGCAGTGACCCGGTTTCCCATGCAAAACCTGGTCACGTGAACCCCCTCCAAGTTGACTTGGCAATCGTTATCCTGTGGGATCCCGCAGCCTCAGGCCCCAGCTGGGAGCACTTTATCATTTTATAAATATGCATTGCACGAGTGTAAAAATACCCCGAAGTTCAAAATTTTTACTGAAGAGGAAGAAGGAACATTTTATGARCCAGGGAACAGCCTACCCCAAAGTAACTCTTGGGGAAAGAGGTCTGCTTTTGTACAAGGGTGCTCGTAAAGAACAAGACTGGGCTGTCTGTGATATCCAAAGCCTTTGATGATTTGTATGCATGATTGTACATGTGCTTGTTAGGAGTAGCATGGATAATCTTTCTTGATGCTTTAAGGAGAATGYGAGAGAGTTTTTCTGAGCCAGTGCTGTAGAGTTGGAATGCACGAAGGAAGAGATGCCTTTCTCCAGCAGTGCTTTTTTGATAAGCAAATAAAAGGAAGGAGGGAAGCATACAGCTGGTGAGGTGAGCAAAAAGATAAGCAAATTGCCCACGGGTTGGCATGAGGCTGAAGCTGTGGAACACATTTCCTTTGCATCCTTTGAGATATGTTGCAGTGCCGTGCTTGAAGATCTCCATCCTGTCAAGCTTGAGCAGGTCCGGGTACGTGGCATGGATGTTGTGCTGTAAACTAGGGCTTTCCCTAACTCTTTTTGCTTTCCTTTGCAGGCTGGTTCTCCAGGCCCTAGGGGCGCTGTGGTGACACTGGGGACCCCRTAGCTGTGCTTGCCAGCTTAGCAGCTCTCTGCCACCGCCACGGAGAGGCCATGAGCGCCTAGCGCTCCCGGAGCAACAAGGCGGCTTCGAGATGGCGGCTCAGAGGATCCGGGCGGCCAACTCGAGCGGCCTGCCGCGCTGCAGGTCGGAGGGGACGCTCATCGACCTCAGCGAGGGGTTCTCCGAAAACAGCTTGAGCGACGTCAAAGGTGAGGGGGGTCCTGGCACATCTCTTGGCTTGGTGGACACTTAGCCACCAAGCGCACGTCTTTGCTCTGCTCATCCCTGGCATGGGCTTTACCTTGGTGTGGGGCACAGGAAACAGGGGAGTGTGGACATGCATGTGGGAAAGGGTGCTCGGAAGCTGGATGCAACGTTGCGCTGCTCCAGCTCGAGCCATCTTGCATAGCTGCCCGCTGTACCAATCCGGGCACGTGTGTGATGTCTGGATGCAGAAACCGAGAGGGAAAACATGAGGATTGCTTACAGGGGACATAAATAAAAAGCACCTGATGGAGAGAGACGGAGTGATGAATAACACGTCTTCCTGTTTACTGCCTGTCTCTATTTATTTATTTATTTTTCTTCACCAAGATCAGAACAACGGGATATTCAGTGAAACTGAAAGGCAGCAGATTTTATGGTTTCTCTCTCTCTCTTCCGGAAGCACATGGCTGTTATTGCTGGGAGATAAAACAAAACAAAGGAGAATACTTTAATTCATAAGGCTGAGTGAGGATCTCTGTTTATGGCAAATGGAAAATAAACCCCAAGTGCAGCATGCCTTCCCCACCGCTTCCATAGGAGACATCTGTCAGCTGTTAAGAAAGGAAAATGAGAAGTTAAACCATGTCTCTCTGGTTTGACAGACCTTCCACAGCCAGTTCTTTGTCCTAAAAAGTGTCGTAACAACAGGCCTTGCCTGATATCCCTGTCGTCTCTGAGAGATCAGGTATCAGAGAAGGGTTTGCAGGTAACCCTGAGCTGTGGGTTCTCCCCAGCAAAGATATGTGAATATCCTCATAGAGATATGTGCTCTTATCTGTCTCATAGAGATAGGTCCTCTTGAGATATGTGAATACTTTCATAGTGACTTACTACCAGGGTGACAAGGAGGTTTCAATGGGATTTTTTTTAATGTGATTTTTGCAGTGAGTTAATGTTCTCATGACTTTCATTGCCTGCTGGGAGAGGGAGGGATCAGGACGCGGATGAAGTCATTTAGTCTGTGTACAATCTCTTCTGCTTTTTCAATATCAGAGCCCTCAAGTCATTGCGTTTGAAGAATTTTTTTTGCTCATGTTTCTTAGGTTACTTGATTCCCTAGTGGCATCGTGAGCTGCTCTGTGACTGTTAAAGGTCCACTGTTTTTTGTCATGTTTTTATATGATCAAAAAATCTCTGCTCTGCTGTCCGTTTGCCTCCAAGACTTAGGGGCTTCCTGTGTGAATTTTTAGAGCACTTTTTTCCCGCCAGAGAGCTATTAAGGATATCAACACAGTTTTTGTCCTAGTTCTATTGCTGCTCCCTATTTGTGAAAATGCAGCTCTTTTCCCTCTCCCCTGTAGGTTTTGTTGTCTTAGGCTCGTGTAGTAAGATAACAAATGTCCAAGTGCCGGCATAGCGTTATCTGCAGCTTGCTTCTGGTGCTTTGTAGAGAAATAAGTCCTCAACAGGAAACTGAAAGCAATAAATGTGGTGATGGCTTCAGCATCTGTAGTCCTTCTTGAGGTGTTTTGTTTGTAACTGGGATCATTTAGTACCAGCGGAATGGCTTTCAGATGGACTTCTGCTGGAAGCACCATGCTGAAAGGGAAATTGGACATGCTGCCATGCTAGCACCTTAGCGGGTGCCCTTAGTTGTTGTTTCTGACTGTGAGATGCAAGACGTTTCACACATACAGAGGAGCAATTAGGGCAGGATGAAACCACTTTTAGGCTGCTCCTGTTGCCTTGAATTAATGTGCAATATGCTTGAAAAACAGGTGTTCACCTTCAGCAGCAGAGTTAACTATTCAACACAAAAAAGAAAAAAAACAAGGACATCAGTGATAGAAAGAAATGGCAGCTAAAGACATTGAGACGGCACTGATGAAATGTGTAGGAAAATGTCCTCGAAGAATCGCCTGGGTCACATTGTTTTACACAACCTGACATCAGTTTTCGCAACCTGCTGGAAGGAGGTTTGCCTTCCCTGCACATACATTGCTATTATGGGACTGCAATAAATTGTTTCCTCTCCTGCGTAGGCCCCTGCTCAGCTGCTTTGAACTCCAACCTGTTAGATTAGGAACTCTTTGGAGAAGACATTCTCTTGCACCACACGGTCACTTCAGAAGCAGTGGGGGAAGATATTTTGTTTCTCAAAATTTTCTAATTTTTGTTTGAAATTCATTTTGTTTCTCAAAAGAGTCTCTCAAGCCTAAAGATATAATAACTAAAAACTATCTTGGCTTTACAGGTTCAAGTAGCGTGAGTTGCTTACTTGAAATAAATGTGTACAACTAACTCGTGACTCCCTTGCTGATTGATTCCTTACACTGCTGTTTTTCTTCCCCTTGCAGTGCCTTCCCCTAGTGCCTTGTTGATAGACAATCCCACATCCTTTGGAAATGCGAAGGAAGTAATAGCGATCAAAGATTACTGTCCAACCAATTTCACCACTTTGAAGTTCTCAAAGGGGGACCACCTCTACGTCTTAGACACGTCAGGAGGCGAGTGGTGGTATGCCCACAACACTACAGAAATGGGTTACATCCCTTCCTCCTACGTGCAGCCTGTAAACTACCGCAACTCTTCCTTAACAGACAGCGGCATGATAGACAATCTGCTGGAGAGCCCTGATGAGGGGGTCAAGGAGCTGGACCTGCTTGGCGAATGGACTGACGGGAAAAGAAATTCTGCCAAAACCTACAGTAATAACCCTTTCTTGAATGGAGCCCAGACAAACCCATTTCTAAATGGGAATTTGCAAACAATGACCAGCTCTGACAATGAGTCCAACTCCAAAGCTGCTGTTGACTTGCTTCTCTTTGACACGGGAGCTCCTAATTCAGCATTTTCCAGTTCAGCCGCTAACAGCAGCATGGGTAACATTTTTGATGAGTTTCCATGCACGAACAGGTTGGAGCTGGAGCAGACTGTGAAACGGGATAATCCCTTCTTTAGGAGCAAACGCTCCTACAGTTTGTCTGAGCTGTCCGTTCTACAAGCAAAGTCGGACACTCCAACATCATCGGGTTTCTTCAGTGGTTTGAAGTCTCCCACCCCGGAGCAGTTCCAGAGCAGGGAGGATTTTAGGACCGCGTGGCTGAATCACAGGAAGCTGGCCCGGTCTTGCCACGATTTGGATTTGCTTGGTCAGAGTCCTGGTTGGGGCCAGACACAACCTGTGGAGACCAACATTGTCTGCAAACTGGATAGTTCTGGTGGTGCTGTTCAGCTTCCAGACACAAACATTAGCATCCATGTGCCAGAGGGTCATGTGTGCCCTGGAGAAACACAGCAGATCTCCATGAAAGCAATGCTGGATCCTCCACTGGAGCTGAACAGTGACAAGTGCAGCACCATCAGCCCAGTTCTACAGATCAAACTGAGCAATATGGAGGTGAAAACCTTTATCATTCTGGAGATGAAGGTGTCAACAGAGGTTAAGAATGACATAATGAGCAAGAGTTTGGTGGGACTGCAGTGCCTGCGGAGCGATATGAAGGAGGGGCCATACACACCAATGCAGCTGAGCTATTCGTATGGGGACACAATACAAGTCCAGCTGGAGAATCTGGAGCCTTGCATGTACATCGCAGCTGTAGCCCAAGGGCAAAACATCCTCTACCCTCACACTGTTTGGGATTACATCAGCAAGAAGATCACAGTTGGTGTCTATGGCCCAAAACACATCCATCCTTCTTTTAAAACTGTCGTGGCTGTGTTTGGGCATGAATGCGCACCCAAGACTCTACTGGTGAATGAAGTCACACGACAGGCTCACAATCCTGCTCCTGTCGCCCTGCAGCTTTGGGGTAAACATCAATTCACTTTGTCACGGCCTCAGGACCTCAAAATCTGCATGTTCTCCAACATGACCAACTACGAGGTAAAAGCTAGTGAGCAAGCCAAAATTGTACGAGGTTTCCAGATGAAGCTGGGCAAGGTCAGCCGCCTTATCTTTCCCATTGCATCTCATGACCCCAATGAGCTCTCAGACTTCACGTTGAGGATACAGGTCAAGGATGACAAGGATGCGATTTTGACTCAGTTCTGTGTCCAGACACCACAGCCTCCTCCTAAAAGTGCCATCAAACCCACAGGGCAGAGGCGTTTTCTCAAGAAGAATGAGGTTGGAAAGATCATCCTTTCACCTCTGGCTGCCACTGCCAAGTATCCAGTTTTTCAGGACCGGCCAGTGTTGAACTTAAAGTATGGCAAACTGCTGAAAACCGTGGTGCGGCAAACCAAGAACCACTATTTGCTGGAATACAAGAAAGGAGATGTCATAGCCCTCCTCAGTGAGGAGAAGATCAGGTTGAAAGGGCAGCTGTGGACAAAAGAGTGGTATATTGGCTACTACCAGGGGAAGATAGGCCTTGTGCACACCAAAAATGTGCTTGTGGTTGGGAAGGTCAAGCCCAGCTACTTCAGTGGGCCTGATCTCACTACCAGCCTGTTGCTTGAGCAAATCTTGAGACCCTGCAAATTTCTGACCTATATTTATGCCTCAGTGAGGACTCTGCTCATGGAGAACCTCAGCAGCTGGCGGTCGTTCGCCGATGCACTAGGGTATTTGAACTTGCCACTCACGTTTTTCTGCCGAGCAGAGCTGGACAGTGAGCCAGAGCGAGTGGCCTCTGTGCTGGAGAAGCTGAAGGAAGACTGCAACAACTCTGAGAACAAGGACAGGAAATCTTTCCAGAAGGAGCTGATGACGGTGAGTCCAAGGTCTGCCGGGGCATCCCAATTCTCTGTGATGCATTCTGAGCAAGCAGTATGAGTGGGAAATTTCCTAACTCAATACGCAGAAATGAAGCGTGTTTTTTAAGGTCTTCTGCAGGCTGCTCAGCACAGCCAGGTGGAAAGGTTTGTCCTGCCATTATGTGTTGGCAAGTTTAATGACATGTCTTTAAATGAGGGCACCACTGTACAAAAGACTATACATAAGTATCATCTCGGAGGAGCAGACAGGCCTGATTGAGAAGGTAGCTGATCTGAAGCCCCCTCAATATCAATGGTGATTTTTGGCTCAGTGATTTTGGCTCAGTGGTGTATAAATGAGGCATGCTTCAAGTAGTCACCTGAAAGCTGCCAGTCCCTTCATCCCTGATGTAATAGCAAGTAATAGCAATATCTGTGATGGAGCTCTTGACTGTCATAGCAATACTGAAGATAGCACGGAAAACTGGGAAAGGGCAAGAAACCTAAAAGCTATTGTTAGGGTAGGAAAGCCACCTCTTGATTCACATGATTTGGGATTACTAAGTAAAGCATGCTGGAAAGGGGTTTATGGATACTGTGAAGGATGGATGCCACTGCGAAGGATAGATCATGAAAGATGAAGGAACCTAAAATTACTGTTTCTTTTAAAATTAATAATAGTTTTGTGTCCTTTTATCCTTGAGTGACATCTAAACYAATGACATCTTTGAGTTGGGATGCTTTGTGTTCAACTGTGAGTTGTTTTTATAATTTGTCTAAAATTCTTGTACACCGTATGTCCTAAAAGGCTTTTGGGGTGAAGTGCTGTCCATGAGTATCCCTAGGATACCTTTAGGAAGATTCTTACAATGAATCATCTTCACAAGGACAATTTCTAACATTTTTTAGAAAGTAAGCCAAAAAAAATAGCGAGCCTTACTGTCTCAACGAGATTTGCAGCTCTTGACTTCTAACAGGCTCCTGTAGAAGTAGATAACTGGGTTACAGCAAATCATGTGTTTTTAAAATGCCAATTTAATTATGGAAGAGCAAAAGCTTCTCTTGGCAGTGATGTGCACAGGCAGTAGTGCAAGAACACACAGCATGCAAAATGAAATTATGAATGAGTAACCTGAGTAGAAAGGATTGGGGCTAAATGAAGTATTTCATATCACTACTTCCGTTTAATAAGAACAGTGAACTTTGAGGACTGAATATTTGGGTTTAATATGTTATAAAGAGTGTGCAGCCATTCATTACTTATGGAAATCCTGTCTAGCATGTTCAAGGGGTTACTCGTGGATGTATTTCCTCAGCCTAATATTGCAGTAGAATTAATAACTCTTTATAAAAAGCTGTGCTCAACTTTTGGTGTCATTGTGGAAAACGGGAAGATAGTTTGTGAAAGGTGTGACTCACAGCTGTTACATTGCAATTAGGGTGATCATTGGAGCTGTCTTTGTTCATGTTCATTTAGGGTCAGGACGTTAAAATGCGGGGTTGAACTGCCCAAGGGAGCACGGAGAACCTGAGAAGCTGTAATTACTGGAGGATATTGCAGTTCCTCTGTGCTTCTCTGGCTGGCTCGGACCAGCTTTTTTCCAAATGCAGCTGTGTTCTTGTCCCTTTTTGAAGGGAACTGCCTGCGTGCCAGTCTGATGGAGATGGCAAAGAGGAGCAAGGGTTGATTGATGTGATTAAACGTTTTAGCGGCCCAGAACCGATTGCCCTAAACTACTGGTCAAGAGGCCGAGGATCTGCTGGGGTTGCAGTCATTTAGCTGACCAGATTAGAGTAGATCACAGGTAACCTTGCTGTGCGAGTAGTAATTTGTGGCTAAACAGGGCAACTTTGGCTCTTGGTACTGTGCAGACACCGTGGCACCAACTGTTGGCAGGCCATGCCACCAATGCTGGTGCKTTTTAGGGGTTCTTGTCCTCATGTGCAGTTGTCTCTCAGTCTTCGGGGCCATCTAGGAAGGAAAAATACCACGCTGTGTTTTTTGTTGTTGTTGTTGCATTTTTTTTTGTCTTTTTTGTTTTGTTTGCCATCATTGGAAGCAGCAGCAGGCTGGTAGGAAACAGAGCTCAGCACTACAGATGGAGCAGCGTGTTCCCATCCATTGGTTCTGAAGGTCGTCCATAAAGGCTGAACAAAAGTAGTAGTAACCAAAATGCCAGAGCATATCAGGGAGCCATTTAAAATCCTCTACGGMTGGTTGCTGTGTTCAGGAGAGGGCAGCTCCTAAGTGAAAACCTTCCTGAGATGTGATTTGCTTAAAAAGGATCAACTGGTACAACCACGTTGTCCTCCAAGCTCTGAATGGTCCTGTAGTAGAGCATGGGCAGCAGGCAGGAGGAGGATTCAGGAGGCCTTAGAGGGAAGCATGGAATAAGACCTGACTGAGTAGCTCACCTCTGCCCCCAGTAGCCTGCTAGGAAGGGCTCTGTGCTGCTGCCATCTTCACTTACCTGCTGCAGCTCCACGTGAGGGTTGGGGTGATGGTTTGCACCTCGAATCCATGTGCAGTGCGAGCTCAGGGCACCTTGRGCATAGATGTGTCCCATGCCTTGTTTTAGCCACAACTCTTCTGGCTGGAGCAATCTCCTCTTCAGCTTGTAAGTCAGGAGAAAGCTTCAGTGAAGCTGAAGGCTTCTTTCTGGCATGGGAAACACCTTGTGTCTAGTGGACGGTTTGCACCTGGAGTCAACAGCCTAGGTGAACGATGTGGTGAAATGCATATTCCTGTTGCTAAAGGCTTCAAGGGCTTTGAGCTGTTTGCCCTACTGCTTTGAAAACCTGTTGTAAGCACTATGGTGCCTTGACTCCAAGGATCAAAGGCAGTCCGTAGGTCATGGAAAAGTTGAGCCAGACCTAAATGTGTGGATGAACAGAGACATGAGGCTCTCTGCATTCTCACACACCAGCTAACTCAAAGGGAGAGACATCAGTTGCCTGAAAAAAAACTTACTGCTCCCGAAGGGATGCAGCTAGTGCAGAATCCCATAGTAAGTTTTATTTTCATTATTCAAATAGAAATTGTTTCCTCTTCCATGTGAGATCTTTGTGTCTGAATCTGTTGATAAAGAATGAGCCCTGCTCATGGTGTAAAAAAATGCTTCTTCTAAATGCCTCACTGCAAGAAAATAAACAGGTGTTTTGGAGTATGACAACCGAGCAGCAGTATTTTGTGTATTTAAATCTAATTTTATTTGTAACAAGCAGACTTGCTGTCTGGCATCTGCTGGTGAGACAAATTGGTTGAATTAAACTCTGACCTGGCCATTTCACATTGAATTTGGATGCCTCATTTCAAAGCAGGGGAATAGCAAGCGGGCTTATCTGGCCTCAGTGTTGATTGCACAAGATCGGGCTGGCAGAGGMACACACCAGTAGCCAAGCGTGGAAGGGCCTCCGAGTGAATGGTGCGCTCCATCATGATGGCTAGTTAATAAATAATCTGTGTGTTAACTTTTTTTTCTTCCTTTAAAACCTAGCACTAGCAGCAGTGTGTGAAGGTAACTGAGAAGAACATTCTTCAGAAGTTAGTCATCACATCAGAAGGAGAGCTATACCCCTCCTCTCTGCCCATCAAAAGCAAACTACACTCAGATGACCTTACCCAAAAAGCCTGTAGTGATTAAAGTCTCCAATTTGCAAGATGCTTTGAGCTGTGCTGATGGCTCAGGAGGGAAGTCCCTTGCTGGGTGGTGTGCTCAGCAGGACCTCCCTGTGCTCTGCCCTCTGACAGTGCTGTGGGCAATGTTGTCCACTCAGGTTGGTGGAGATGCTGGAAGATGTTCATAGGTGAGCCTTGTTTCTAAGCTGTGTTCCCGTGAGCATTTTCTCCAAAAGCATCTCAGACAAATGTCCTTTTAGCCAGGCTGCCAATAACTGGCTCTCTTCGGCTGTTAGTAATGGGAAGAAGTGTTTGCTTACATCTCCATGGAAGAGCTTTAAGACAATACGTTTCTCCCCCATGCCTGGAAATCACCCCTGTGGCTGTTTCCTGCATCCCAGCTGTCAAGAGGAAACACCATTAGAGTCTACAAGCTCTCAGCATGCAAAGACAACCCCATAGGTTTCAGGTTTGTAGGAAAAGGCCTTTGGGTGCTTTTACAAATGCTATTCACCCACTGCAGCATAATCAAATGCACTCAAGTTGCTACAGGGAAACACGCCAGGTTTCATTTGAGAAGCAAGCCCAGGCTTGCCACAGAGTGACTGCATTACCTGGTCCTTTGGAGCTGGAGTTAAGTATGATGAGATGCAGCATTTCTCTTCTTCTTTAGATAATGTTTTTATAGACGCTTGCATTTTTTTCCTCATTTCCAAAAGACCCTACTCAGAAGCAATGGAAGAATGAAAATGTTTTCTTGTCCACAGTTTATAGAGACCGCACTACCACCACCAAACAACTGCTGATGGGCCCTAATAGTTCTGGCTCCCCTTAATAKCCAGCAGTGCCAGGCTTGGGTTTTGCAGTGGCATGTGTCAAGCAGGCCAGCCCAAAGTTGCTTATGGTTGTGCCCTGCTGCTCCTACATCCAGAAGCAGTGTAGTACCTTTGTTGGTTGGTTTGTGTAGTGCCTTTGGGACAGAGGTGGAAGGCATCTCCTGCCTCTTCCTGCATTCAGGGGAGCAAATCCCCACCTGCGTGCGTAGGTTGCAGATGTTGCTCCCATAAGGAATTTATGCAAGTGCTACGCTCCAGTTAGTGGAAGTTTTTCTGTAGGATGTGGCTTGTCCTTGCACAGATGGGTGGCTTGCAGCAGGTCCTTTCCCCGCTCTGCCATCAAATAAGAGAGAGCTACAAAAATGTGGTGTTCTGCGCCTGGTTCCTCTATGGGCCAAGCCCAGGTGGTGTACTGGCAACAAAAGGAAAATATTCCCTCAAACACAGCTGGCCTGGGGAAACCCTGCCAGGCAACCAAAGCAAGGTTGCACCAAAGAAACTCGCAGCAATCACCTCCGCAGTATGCTCCTGCACCCTCCTTCGCCTCCTTGGCTTTGAACGGGTGCAAAACTGCCTTCTTGCACAGTCCTGCAGTAGTGAATAGAGTGCTAAATATCACCCTAAGTGTGACCACATCTGCTGCTCCGCCTCTCCACCCAGCCGCCTTGCAAAAGTTCCAGGCGTTGATTAAGGCGATAGGGCTCCGGCTCTCCAGGGTCCTTTCCAAGTTAAACGCTGTTTAAGGAATCATTAACTAGTTAAAGGCCATTTGCCTAATAACTTCCTCTTCTGGGCTTCGCTTGTGAGGTGCGAATGGAATCTGCATTGTTTTACCCTGCCTGGGTGAAGAGGTAGGATTTGCCAAAGACAGGGCAAAAGGAGGCACCCAATTTTCAAAGGGCTTCACCAAATTCTGAGAAAAGCGGGTGTCAAGAGGAGGGAGACTGGGCGGGTGCACGTGTGGTTGGGAATAAGGCTGAGTGGCCGTGAGCTGGGACAGAACAACTACAAAACCCTTGCAAAAGCGAGCGTTAGGCATGTGTTGTGCTGCAGGTTGCTCTTGCATGGGCCCTCCTGCAGCTCTTTGAACCTGAGGATCAGAGCGTGGCCTCTGCTCCGGTGCGCGCTCGGCTGGTGGAGCAAGCTCCGAGGCCTCCTGTGGCTGAAATACAGGGTAGGCCTTGGTGCTGACCATCGTTAGGGACCGGGGGTAACGGGAGGCTGCAGGAGCTGGGTGCAGGAGCTGGGTGCGCACATCCGATTCCCCTGGGGWGCTTGGCATAGGGTGAGGGAGGAGGATGGGAAACAAAATGGGAGCGTAATCCCAAAAGCGCCTGCTGGAGGATTAAAGTCTCTTGTGAACCCTGCTAATCCCGGCTGGGCTTTCAGGAGAGCCCCGAGCCTGCTGGCAATTTGTACGTTTCCGTGGTGAAAAGGATGGGGTTGTGAACTGGCCAGCTCGTCCAGCACGGTCGCTTCTGAGGACTGAAGCTGCTCCTTGCTGTCCCTAAGAGACCTGGCCACACTGTGAGCTTTGGGGGCCGTTTCTTTGTGCGCAAATGAAAAATATTTCACCATTACCTGCTGCACCCCCAGTTTGGGGATCATCCACCGCCAAGTGTCATAACAAGCTCCTGGCTCTTGTGTTCCTCACTGAGACCTTGCAGAAAGAGGACTTTGTCCTATCATATGTACCGAGAGGTGTCTCATTCCCTATCTCGACCTGTGCATGAACATCAAGCTCATGCATCMTGGTCTAAGATGTTAGGAGATGGTGGTTTTCCAGGAAGATGGGTTTCTTCTCCCTTCTCTTCCTCCCTACCATCACTCCTTTTGGCATCTTTCCAAGCAGTTAGGCATGTTTCACCCCACCGTTTTCAGAGAAGAACCCCTGGAGAAGCAAGTGGTGTCCAGCACAGATGAGGGCCAGCTGATTGCACAGGCAAGTGCAGCTGGAGTGAGCTCCAGCACTGGTGACCAGAAGAGCAGGCAGAGGACCTGATGCCTTCGGAGTCCTCCTGCCTCCAGACGAGAGGGCAGCAAAACCTGTTGGCCGCTCAATAAGATAATATTGCTGGAGAGCTGGACTTGGAGTCTTCTACAGAGGCGGTGACGAGTACGACGCAGATGTGAGATCTAAATGCATTTTTAATRCCCATAAAAAAAAATAAAAAGCTCTCCAAATGTTTTTTTCCTTGCTTAACAAGAGGGTTTATTACTCCTCTCGCTACTACAGGAAGGCCKTATAAGCACTTTGCTTGAAAAGCAAACCCCAGCCTGCAGCCGTAATTAGATTCGAGCCCTGCTTTGCTCTGCATAAGCTGGAAACAGATAAGGGAACCGGTGTGCGTTTGCTTTGCAAATTGCTGGAGTGGTTTCAGATGTTACCCTTTTCTTCTGCCTCTTTGTTCCTGTCCCTGAGAGTTGGTGTATGGGAGGATTTAACCCCTGCTCCGCTTTGCACTGGCATTAACTGGGTTGGCGTAGTGCTTGGGTATGGTCCTCCTCTTAAAATGCTGCCTCGGTGCTCTGGCATCGTGGACCCGCAGTCCTAATTCTGCTCTCTGAATGGCTCCAGCACTTAGCAATATAAAAACAAGAGGGCACTCAGCAAAGCAGAAGGGCAGCAAATAGCAAACGGGTTGAAGTGCTCCTTTTTATATCCCGCGATTCATCTGCAGAGTGAGTGCCACGAGCTGTCCCAGGGCATGGAAGTGTACAGAGAGGTGAAGGAAGATTAAACATTTCTGGGTGGTGAACTGTCCCCCAAGGGAGAGTCTCTGATTGTTTGCCTGCCTTGTTTTGATGTTTTAATAACTCTTTTTTAATTTGAAACAGTCAGAAGCAGTCACTTGACGTTCAAGAGGTGATTTGGTCTGTGGACAGGGTATGCTCCCTGCGTTTAACTCAGGCYGGTCTTGGAGAGCTCGATATTGACTCTGTTGGTCAGGTCTTATGGCCTGATACTTTGCTTTAAACCCTTCATTTCCTGGCCTCTATTGCAGGTTTCTGCTCTTGCAATCCGTTTCTCATTTCCAAAACAACCATGTCTTTTTTTTCCTACCTAAAGTAACTGCTCTGTGGAAAACTGTGGGTCTCCCTGGCTGAGCATTTACTCCTCTTTTCTGTTCTTTGCTGTTATTTGCACTTAAATCAATAAATAATTTAAGGATGTGATTCTGAGCTCACTAGGGAAGTCAGGGCAGGTAAAGGAACAAGAGCATCTCAAGCAAAGGGACTGCTGTGGTGGCACCCTATAATGCTCTAAACTGGCCATTCACCTGGGTCTTACCCCAGTTCATCTTCTCCCAGGTCTGCTCTCCAGGCCTTGTCCCAGAATGTTCTGCTTAGTCCGTAACTGCTTGAGGGAAAAACTTGGGCCCTCTTGCTGCCTGTAGGGAAGGGACAGTTCTCCAGGCTTGGGGATGCAAGCTGCCTTCACCATGTTCTTTAATTATCTTGATTAAAAGCATCTGTTTTTCTCAGCTCTGAGATGCTTTAAACTGCTTAGGTGGTGAGTGAGTATCTTGAGCGATTGCCTGGAAAATAAGGTTTTGCTGGCCAGCCGAGGCTACAAACCACATCAAACCAGGGTAGGGGAATTCATTCAATTACTGGGATTACTATTCTGTTGAGCCTGTTGGCCTAATTTCACCAGCTGTTGCCAGAAAGGAGGTGGGAGGATTGGGGAGTAATGTCCTGAGAGATTCCCTTGCGTAATCCCGGGGTAACCTGACTTTTTTTTTTTTTTTTTTTTTTTTTTTTCTCTCCACCCTCCCTGACTCTCTGCTTGTTTTTTTCATGGTTGTTGTGCAGGCCTTGCTGAAATTGGACTGCCAGGGGCTTGTCGTGAGGCTCATTCAGGACTTTGTGCTGCTGACCACGGCCGTGGAGGTGGCCCAGCGCTGGAGGGAGCTCGCGGAGAAGCTGGTCAAGGTCTCCAAGCAGCAGATGGATGCCTACGAGGCCCCACACCGGGACAAAACGGGCGTGGTGGACAGTGAGGTGAGAGTTGGATGCTCCTCCATGTTGGAGGGTTTCATGTGTTTCCTGAGGTTGTTTTCGCTTGTGGCCAGTGCTTCAGATGTCTACAGTGTCTTCTTCTGAAGTACCTTTTTGGGAATAAATGGGATTTTAATGTGATGAGGACGTWCTGGGGTGTTTATACCTGAAATAAATTTTCTCGGGGATCACTGCATGTTGGGGATAGCATTATTTGGTTGCTGACTGTTCTGCCCCAAATGCGGGGCAAGGTCACCGTGGCAAGCCATTGAGAGATGGAGCTCTTGGTTCATCTCCGTTCTTCTTCCCTCTCTCCCGTGTGACACAGGCCATGTGGAAGCCGGCCTATGACTTCCTCCTCACCTGGAGCAGCCAGATCGGGGACAGCTACCGTGACGTGATTCAGGAGCTGCACACAGGGCTGGACAAAATGAAGAACCCCATCACCAGGCGCTGGAAGCATCTCACGGGCACGCTGATCCTCGTCAACTCCTTGGACATGCTTCGGGCAGCAGCCTTCAGCCCGCAAGACCATGAAGATTTTGCTATCTAAGTGGGGTTTCCTGGAGCGATACGTTCTTCCGCATCTCATTTGTTGGTGGTGTCTTTATTTTCTGTGTTTTTTCTTCCTTTTTTTTAGTAGTTGATTTTTAAAAATAAGTGGAGATTGCTCTCCCCAAGTTTTAAGAGGCCAAAGTTTGCAAGTTCTCACTAGGACTTCAAATCACCAGGAGACATCTCTCCTCTTAGTGGGAAAACATCCAGAGCAGATTTTTTTTTCTATGCTGTGGAGAATTGATATCAGTTAAACTATTTCTATTAAAAAGTTTAAAAGTTGTCGAGGGATGGAGAGGGAAGTGGGAGGGAAAGATTGAAAAAAAGCAAACACATTTTTTTAGGTAATTAAAAATCTAATTTTTTAATGAGCAGTGAAGGTTGTAACCACTTTAGGGAGAAGTTGCTTTTTTATGTTGTAGGAACTGCTTTTAAATTATCACCTTTGAGATGAAATGAATCATGTAAATATGTATTTAAGACAAAGCACAGTGAATGCCCTCTCCCCACCTCTGCTACCAGGCTTCGGCTAATCACCCAGCAGGACACTTGGTAGACGAACAGATTGACTTGGGATGTCTTCAACCCAGCAAGCCTCTTACACTGAAAATCAGCTTTTTTTTTTTCCATGTTCACAGGCCCTATGACCTGTTACTTTTGGTTGCTTTCTTCTATGTACTTTCAAATGTGCATTTTCTCTCTTGTGGATGGAGAGATGCTTATTGCCTCTTTTCAAATGCACAGGTACCACTCTTAACCAGGAGATCTGGCGCTGCCCCTCGCACCTGGTTGAGGGAATGGTTCATCCTGCTGGTCATCCCAGCTGGTTCCTTGTGGAAGAAGCTGGCGAGAGTTGTAGTTTGACAGACACCTGCTCCTTGCTGCCCTGTGGTGGAGGCTGGAAAGATGCTGGGAATGGTTAGCCCATGGTTAGCCATGGCAGTGAAATGTGCTTGGACTCTTCTTTCCTGGAGTTCATGGTCTGGGGAACTGGCCAGAAAAGCAGAGGAATTGTTAATTGTTGCAATCTACATATCCCTTAAAAAAAGGAGAGAGAGAAGACATCTCACCTGACTTGAAATCCAATCCAAAGCTCACTGGAGACTTGTTACTCACTGGAGATTTGTTACACGACTTAATGCTCATTGTCATTAATTTCAGTGAGCTTTGAATTGGGCTCTTAAAGGTTCCTGAATTCCAATTTAACTTGTAAATATTCTTTGCTATAAAAATGGTGCCATGGAACTAAATAGCACTATGTGGCACTACGTGCCCATACTTTTCCCCCTTCTTTTTATAGCTAACTCTTTTGAACAACCTCCTCCTTCCTCCTGTTCCCCAGCTTTGAAATATTTTACGTGGGAGRAAAATATTTTTGCACAGAAAGATGACTTTATTTTAAGTGCGACGTTCCTTTATAGCAAAAAGCTGCTACCACAGAGAAGTTAGTTGTTAATGATGCTTTCATTTCATGTTGATCTAAAAGGAAACAAAGAAAAATGCCCCAAAATGGGAAAGGTCTTTTAAATCCCAGAACTTTACACTGATAGCAGCACACAAGAAACAGGCTACATGGCCTTGCTGCCAGGCATGATGAGGACTTATCAGTCAATTGCAGGTGATGGTAATGTTCCTCCACTGCAAACCTGAAGAAGTTGCAGGTGACATTAGCTCCCTGTCCATAGCTGAGCTTGGGACAATTTGGCTGGTTCGTGTTATCTGGCTTTTCTCCCTGTGACCTAAGATAAGGGCAGCATGATGTGATCTGCCTGGTCCATTCAGGATGTGGGCATTTGATGGGCTCTTGGTGCACCAGCGGATCGTGCTAGCAGAACAGTCTCTGAAGGGAGTAGTAGTCTTACAAGGACTATGTATTCCTGTCTGCTCTCATGTCCTCTACCCAAAAGCAGATCTCTGGAAACATTTGCTCTCACTTTAGACCCATCAAAAAAAGTAAATAGCACCTCAATTTCTCCTCAGGGGCTTTAAGGAGTTTCCTATGCAACCCACCATAGCACAGAAATAGAGTCTGTCAGGCCCACCTGAGCCCACCTTGTATTTGCTTTTTACTTACAAGAACATACCACCATCAGAGCATGTTTTCCGTGCACCAAGCAAAAATCCCCGTTGCAGTGAGGAGAGGGGTTGAGCTGACGGGCAGATCTGCTCCTGGGCCAACTCATGGACAGCGTGGAGTTTTTTCCTATCTGCTTTACCCAAATACTGTTTTTTGCTGTTGAAGAGGCACGTGCTGAATGAGGCCTCGGTCCTGCGAGCAGAGCTGTGCTGGTCCAGAGCTCTGCAGAGCGGCTGAGCCTTGGCAGAGGCGCTTGCAGCGCTTGAGCCAGGTTGCTGCAGGGGGCAAAGGAGGAAGGAGGTGGGAGAAAAGCCCTTGCTTGTCTCCTAAGCCTTCAGGGCAGAAGTTTTGCCCTCTTGCAGTGCTGATATGTTAGGAACGTCCCTGGATAATTCCAACATTATGTTTTTTCCCCCATTGTTTTTTCTATCTACCTCAGGTACTCTGTACACCCGGCTTAACATTTCAGCATCAGCCTAAAATATGCCACACTCAGCTCTTCTGCTGTAGGCATCTGCCCTCACCCTTCCTGAAAACCACACGAGCACAGCCGTCACGTTTTGGGATCGATGGAATAACCACTGCGTTAATTTGTCCCCATCCATGGTCAGAAACCCAGGCTCTCCTCCTGTGCTGAGACTGGGGGTACACCTTTCAAACACCTTTTGTCCATTAGATGTCAAGTCCTCCTCCAAAACTTTGGTCTGGGCTTTGCATTACTACAGTTTGTGCAGTAACTGGTTATTGTACTTAAAATTTAATTCTTTTTTTTTCTTTTTTTTTAAGAACAAACATTTTGGAAAAAAAAAATATTATGATTAAAGCTGTTATTATTCCAGTGCTACTGAGTAGACCTACTGTTTTTTTATGATCACAGGGCRACTTTGGTTTTGATGCGTGAGATTAATTTAATAGGTTTTCAACACATAAATAGCTGTGTCTTGGAGCAGCTTTCTGCACCTACAGCCATCCGTTCATCGTGTCTTGAGCCCAACTTTGTAATCTCAATTCAGGGTGTGTTGACCTTTCCAGAGGTAATTCACTGAAAAAAATCCCACTGCAACTTGGTGGTTTTAGGAGAGAAAAGCCAAATGTAGATTTAGTGCTTCTAGTGGCGTATTTATTCTAGCTCCCAAGCTGCTGATTGTGTCCAAGCACGAAGTAAGAGAAGAAACTTTTTAAAATCGGAAGAGATTTGGTTGCCTTTTGCCACATTTGTAGTGGTGCAATATTTTCCAACATCTGTTTTCTGAATGGAGAAAATGTTTATTTTATACGCAGCTGAAGGCTATTAAGGCAATTGCACAAGGTGAGTGGATGTGTAAAAATAGACTTTACCGTGTTAGAGAACTGTATTGAAGACATGAAGGCAAAGAATTTCCGATTGCATAATGTTCATACTCCCAAATCTCTGCTGCCAGGTTATTTTTTAAGAGTCCCAACAGGTTGATGGTTGATACCCACATGGACTTGGACTCCTACGTCAGACTGGTGGTCTCAGTGCAATCGGGACAAGCTGAATTCAGATTTCAGGACTCAAAACAGAGGTATTTAGCCATCTGGCTCTGATGGTGGCTTCGTTTTGCCAAGCATGAAGGATAGACGTGATGGTTTGATTTAATCTTTGGCAAACGCATCTTGCGGTCTGGCACGGAGATCACATCCGGCTGGCTGAGCCAGGGCTGCCGCCTGTTGCAGATGACAAGGAAGATGTGTCACGCAGAGGCACGTGCTCGGGCCTTGCTTCATGCACATCTAGATGGGCAAAGGAAGGCCTACTGCGTAACCTGCRCATTGCAGTGAGGGTGCAGCTGCCCCGTTGGTTGCTTTGGTCCATGGCTGCCTTTTCTTGCCTTCTGAGGCAGTCCCAGATTTGTGGCTGCATCCGCGGACTCTGCTGCTGTTCAGAGGAGCTGCTCAGTGCGGATGCTCTTAGGAATATGCCCAGGTAAACTGAAATGCTCAATAAAGAGGCAATCCTTAGGAGAGAGGGCTGTTAGCAACTCTCAAGTGCAAGTACTGCTCTAGCCCTCTTGGCCTCAGGTATTTGAGAGAGGCCAGTGTCGCCGCTTTAAAATTGTTTATCCTGCACAATTGGGTGTTCGCTTTATTCGGGGGACTGTGCAGCTATGTACTRTTTTACTGTCTGCTTTTTATTCTCCACTGCCTGATGGTTTTTTTCCAGCTGCTTTCCCAGAACTGCTTGTTACTTGCATTGCGCAGGATGAACATGCTGTGAGAGGTACGTGAACCAAGACGAAAAGCAGTGGAATAATGAACCCAGATTAGATTAAATCAAGGGATCTGCTGTTCCAGTGATGGTACACTGGCCTGCTGCTTTGGGAGCTGCTGCTGGCTGCCTRTCCTATTCCTTTCTTCTCTTTCCCCTCACTTCTAACGGCTAGCAACACTATGCTGATAACAAGGTGTCTAGACCCAGCTGCCCTTCCTTGTTTCCTTGGTGAGAAGAGGCAGTGCCAGTAATGTGGGACTGTGATGGATAGTGGGGCTTCACCACATAGGTATACATGAAAACACATTCYCCAGCCCAGCTAGTCCTCTTCCAGATCCTGTGATGTGGGTGTTTCCCCTCCACAGATGCCCTGTACCTATTTTCCACCTGCAGACAATTAACCACCAGGTTTTCCCAATTAGTAGTCTGTTGCATTGGCTCATTTCCCCCAGGCTCCTTGTGTTGAGCACTCCTAGAGCTGGTTTCCCTTTGAGGGGGTTGTTGTTCCCCTTACAGGTGTACTGGCATGAGGACATTAGGATGCGGAAATGCCAGTGCTGCCCTAACCTGCTGGAGAAAGGGACTCCACTGTGGAAATTAAAGCAGCCCTGGTTTGTGCTCAGCTGCAGAGGAGGTGCAGATTCACCCAAGGATGAGCATGTAGGGACTACCAACCACCGCYGGGACTGGAGAGGTAGGTCACTCAGTGGCACTGCTGGTTAATCCTTGATTCAGTGCTTTACTCTGTTGTTTGGCTTCTCACTGTGAAGGACTACTTTTCTGCAGCCTGTATTTTTCTATGCCTCTTGAAATTGCTCTGATTATGTATTTCAGCYCTCATCTGTGGATTGCTCTTATGTAGCCTAGGTAGAAAGGGTACTAGGCATCTAATTTGAGCAGTTCTGCATTAGCTCTTTCTCTGATAATGACTCTACTGCTTCAAGTGAATGATTTGATTCTTTATTTTTCCCTGGAGTCAATCAAAGGACAGGCCTGCTTCAGCACAGGTCACCTTGGAAATACATTTGCACCCTCTTCTCTTCTATTTGAGCCATCAAAACCAAATGATTGCAGTTTTAATAACTCAGCTCAGCTTGTGTTAGTTAATGCCTGAAGATGATGTGTCAAAAGGGAAAGAAATTGATCCCTTTAGGTTATCAGTGTCTCTACAGAAAAGCTACTGTATTGGTGATTTCTGCTTTGACTTTCCCAGCTCTCAGTGTCTCCAGCTCTCAGCCCAGTGCTGTTTATTAAAGACMCTGGAGGTCTCTGGACATGTGTTTCTATCCCTAGATACCTCTGCTGAAAATGAATTGCTTTACTTCCTTCCTATTTCTTGGTTCAGTGCTTGTTGTGGATTATCTGCAGTCAAGACACCTCTGTCTTGCAATGTTATGAGCTGTCACGAGTGCTTAGAGGACAGAAATTGGTTAGAGGACACCTACATATTCCTGCTGGTGGTTGGTTTCTTTTGCCTCCAGAAAATGTTTGTTCCCAGTGCAGTCTTGTGCATCTGCTGTCTGCCTCTTGACAGGACCACCTTCTGTCTCATGGAGTTACAAATGCTGGTGTTATGCAAAACTGTGCCGAAAAAGTTGGTAAACCTGCTAAAGTAACTGTCTTTTCTATAGTATTTCTGTTAGGGCCATCTCCTGCAGTTCCACAAAGAGACCATTTGGCCTTTGGCTTTGTCAACATTCCAGGTGTATCTGGCTCTGGAATCCTGTCTTGGGTTTGGTGTTTCTCTGTCTTCTGGGCCCTCCTAATCTTTACAACAGGATCAACTTAATCAGGCCGGATCCTCCCTAAGAAAATAGTATCGAGTGACTGTAAATTAACCAAGACAGTCGTTGTCCTTTGAAACTCTGCTTCCCGCTGTGTATTGGTGGTATGACTGGTTCATATCTCCTGTCATGGAAGTCCTCTATTTGCTAACAGGCTTAATGTAAAGATTTCCTTGGGGCTTGTTTCTTCACAGCTCAGCCAGATTTAATCCATCTGTGAAATTCAGCCACAGGATCAGGGAGCTCAAAGCAATGAGTGACACGCGGAGCTCTTCTGAAGAATAATAATTTTTAAAAAGCAGGATATAAAAGAATGTTTGCCCAAAGGTTGTTTGCGAATGAGATTGGCCAAAATAGGGGCAAGCTTCATTTGTAGGGTTGACAGTTCAACAATAAGGCCATGGTCATTGGGGGGCAGTCATGTCCTGTGTGAAAATGAAGAAGCCTCTGGCTGGGGAGGGGAATGTGTTAATTTGGTTAGCATTTAACACGCTTGATCTCAGGAACATTGTTAGTTGTTGGTTTTCCCCTCCTTTCTCTTGCCTAAAGCATCTTGTCCCAGGCTATCTACAGCATCCCTCTTCTCATAACGAGATTGCTACTGATCCCTCTCGGGGCTGAGACCGACTGCTGGCGGCCAAAACTCAAAGAACAGCCCCGCCATCTCAGCAGCCTCCTGAGGATAATTAACCTTGGGTTTGTGCCCCGCTTTGATTACCCCCCGCTGAACGTTAATTAAAGCTTCCAGCAATGGCTTTGTGAAGTCCTGTCTGGTGCAAACCAAGTCACTGGGATGCGATCTGGTCCCTCGCTGGGAGAAATAAATGAGCCGAAGAAGGTTGCTTAGTAACAGATGTAGCTTGTTTTAATCTGTTCCTGTCGCTGGGCCCTTGTTTCTTGTTGTGGCAGCTCTTGGTGTCTGGTAATCCAAGTGGCTTTGCTAGGAGGACCTTTTTGGCCTTGTTCTCTGCAGCAAGACCAGGCTCACACTGTATGGTTGGGGAGATGCCCTTTCTGCTCAGTGGCTGCTGGGCCCATTTGGCTCCAGTCTTGTCTCCACCAGGATGAAATTCCAGGTGCCACAGCAGGGGAATAAAAGAKTCTCTGCTCAACTTTACAAAGAGATGAGGTGTGCTGATGGGCTGGAGAAGGGAAGAACCTGACCTCCACAGCTCTGTGTGTCCTCAAATTACCTAGGTTTGCTGCCTTTTGGGGAAGGAATCTGCCGGCTCTGTTTGCTTCAGCTGACTTCTGAGGAGGGTTAAGGTGAYGGATAAATCAGCCGGTGCCTAGGCGGAGGGGATTAGGATTTGATGTCTGAATGGGACGGGTTGATGACTTGTTTTTATCAGCCTCAATGATCAGATCCTACGTATGAGACTTTTCTCCTTTCCTTAATAGAAAGGGAATTGGTACGGGGAGCACCTGCTAATACCTATCAAAGGAAAATAATGCAACAGCATTTTTTTTTCTGTCTGCCTGATGTAAGCTGTGTTTGATCCCTGTGCAGCTGCTGTAGGGCTGGCAGCAGGCATCCAATGTGTGAAAAATGAGCCCTGAGTTGGCATCTCCTCTCAGAAATATCCGTGTCCTAAGCTGGCTCAAACAATGCTTGAAAACAAAATCTCTAGATGGAGATTTGATCTTCTCTTCCCTTTGTAAGCCTGGTTGGGTGCATGCAGCCCACGCTAGCACAGCTGAATGGTGCCAGGCAGGCAGTGGCAGCTCCAAATTTATTTATGGCTCTATTCCATCTATTTATTTCCAAGTGCATCTTAATTTTCCCATCTTGGAATTGCAAGGGTAGCAGAGGCATAAAGATCAGGCCTAAACTTCCTTAGAGTTGGTCCRATCCCACCTACCTCTTGAGAGATTTGGGGCCAGGTGCTCGCTCCCTAACCCCTTCCTCATCGAAATCCAAAGGTATGGTGAAAAGTTTCTGCACCTCTCCAGTTTCCCAGCAGCTCAGAGACTGTTCAGTGTCAGGGCAAGTGTTTCTGAGGAGACCCTGGTGGGCTTGTTTGTGCCCTTGTCAACATCCTTCCCTGTGTCACCAGCAGTGTGGCCTCAAGCTACGGGCCAAGTCTGGCCGCTTTTATTGTCAGATTATAGAAGTCTGTGCTGTAAGGAGAGCACTTGCAATGTGGTGGCTCATGAGTCTCTTTTATTTCTTAAAGACTGAGTTTTCCAAGCTAGTGTGGTCAGAGATCTCCTTGACCTGAGCATAGATGTATTGCCCATCCCTAACTGAGCTGGTGTGTGAGGCCTGTGGTGGTTTCCTGCCTCTCTGGATTTGGTAGGGTGAATTCCACTCCCTGGCAGGAAGACCATGTTCTTGATTTTGTGACTGGTTCACTTTGTGCAATCACTTGCCGATCAATAACTCCTAAAAACATCTCTGTGGGTGATAATTGGGGATTTGCACGGTCACTCCAGCTGAAATTGTCTGACTTGAGAGCTCCCCAGCATTGTGGCTGGGACCAGGGCCACCACGTTGCCCATCGCAGCAGTGGGACTCTGGTTCCTTGGGCTGGCTGGTAGGTTTGGTATCCAAGGCTGTATCCCAAGGCACCGTATCCTGGAAGACAGCAGCAAGCACAGCCCAGGCTGGAGCAGGGTAGATGAGTAGTCCTGCCATRTAAAACTGGTGAAAAAAACTGGTAAAACATATAAAATTGATGGATGGAGCATCTGGAAGCTCACACGAAGCTCCTGGACCTAGAGTCACAGGCTCTCAGCCCTGRTTTCTAGCAGCAGTGGATTTCCACCCCAAGGAAGTCACCCAAAACTGTAGGTTTTGGAAAACAAGCTAAATATAGCAAGACATTAATAAATATTAATATATTAAGTGTGAGCATCTGATAGAGGGACATGTGTTTGGATGCGTCAGGATGAAGTGTTTGTATTGGAAGCCTTGCTTACAGGTCTCAGGCCCCAGGAGTCCCTTTTGGAGCAAAAGCGATGAACGTTTTGAAGCGGAATGGGTTTTCAGATAGGGGTTCTCCCTCCTCAAGCACCTGAAGTTCCCAAATCTCCATTTTTGGCAGCAAATGGAGCATTGGGATTTGCAAGCATCAGAGAAGCTGTGGAGTGACCTTTGTTCTGGTGGGGCTGACAGGACATGAGCTGGGGGCTGCTCCTGAGCTGAGACTTCAATCTAGCCATGGGAATCTGGGATGTACAAGAGGTGAATTCCCTGAATTCTGCTCCATATGGGCCTGGACAGAGCCAGGAAAGAGCCTGAGAGCCGCCCTCAGTGGTGCTGGGAGATGCCTTACTCCTTCCCTTGGGGACTGGAGCCCGGAGGCGAGCGGGAAGGAGAAGCAGCCCCGTGACCAGTGTGGCTGCTGCAGAAAAATGTCAGCAATTCCTGCCATTTCCTGTGGTCTGGCTGAGGGGAAGAGGCAAGAGAAAGGTGGCTGGTATGTCCTCCCACTGAGGCCTTGTCCCAGCTTCTTAGTTCTTGCCAGGTCTGTGTGGTTTTTACTGGTTCATTTGGGCATGATTGTTGCAAGCCTGTGTGTTTAAAAGCGGGGCATATAAAATGCAAAATAAAGCGGTTCTGGTGGCAGAGTGGGAAGGGAAGGCTCTCATCCACCAGGAAACGTTTGTTGATGCCCTCTCTGCAGGGGTAKCAAAGAGACTTCTGCCTGCTGAGGATGCAGCTGAAGTGTGCCCGAACGCCGCTGGGTGGAAAAGCAGGTGCTCCGAGAGCCGGTGGGCCCGGTGCAGCCTGCAGCCTTGGGCTCGCTGCGGTTCGCAGTGCCGGAGCACGTTGCCTCTGTCTACCCTGGCTGCTGCTCACATTGGCACCTTGGTATGGAGGGCTTGCTGGCGTCTGGATTTGCCAGGTGGATAAACAGCAAGTTGCTGCTGACTTCTGGAGATGCTGGAAATGGGAGCGTGAGTGAAGCCGAAGTGCTGGGAAGGCTCTGGTGCGCTCCGCAGAGCTCCTCGCTGTCGCGGCAGAAACACGGAGTGGCTTTGGGGTGGATGAAAGCCTGGGGCAGCAATGGGAGTGATAAGTCAGCCTAAGCGGGAGAAATTGCCTGCCTGCACCTGCCAGGCAGGGGAGGAAGGCCCTTTCCTTCCTCTTTCCCTGGCGGAAKGTGTAGGTTAGCAATATCATAGTGTCCTCTGCTGGGCACGGCCGAATGGAGCACAGACACCACSTTTCTCTTGCTCCCTGCACCGAGATCTGCAAATGATTTTATTCCTGCTTTTCTGAAAGCTGGGGATGAGCTGTGGGTGTTTTGGTTTCTCTTTTTATTTATTTTTTTTTCTCCCTCTCCTCCATCTATAGGCTAAGAGAGTTGAAAGGGTGAGCTGGCAATTGTGTTCCTCACAATACCCAAATATGTACTTTCATTTGGAGAACCCTGCACTTTCCTGTGTTCTCGCTTTTGCCTTGCAGTGTTTTGCTGCATTCCTTGATGCTGAGAAATGGTTTTTATGCATTAAGATGGCTTTCATTGAGGATGTCACGCATTATTGCATAGAGTCTTTGCCTTCCCCAGCTCTATCTTCATCACAGCCATRTGTCCAGCCTCATCCCTCCCAAATCAGAAAACACAAAATTATCATTTGTATTGGGGATTTATTTATAGGGGTGGTGCTTGGGTTCTTTAACAGAACGTAGTGTACAAAGAGTAAATCAGTAGGATTTTAAAACATTGCTTACAAAGATTGCCATCACCTAACAACAGGCTGGCTCCAGATACAGGCCTCTGCCTCAGGGGGAACCTGAGTGAAACAGCAGGAGCTTTACAACAACTTCTGCACTGAAAACTTCAGACTGAGTTCAGGGTATTGTAAACATGCRCAAAAAATTAAGCTGTGCATCTAGCTTGTCTTATGTGACACATACTGTCAGTTAATAACATTTGTCTCTTCTATAGCAGCTGCTCTGCAAAGTTTGGAAAGTGCTTGGTAAACCTGACACTCTTGTGCTAGAGCAAATGTTTCTACTAAAACCACTAGAGCAAAGTCTTACAAAATCCCTGTTTATCTCCCCTGCACATAGGAGGTATTAAAAAAAAAGAAAAATGATATCTTGAGTCCTCAGGACACCAAGAAGTGGAAGTTGGGAGTCCCGGTTCACACAGATACCTTCCCAAGTGACTGAAGTATTGCTACACAAATTACTTTTAACAACAGAATCTTAATTAAAGATAAAGATTATAAAAAGTGAAATAACCTCCCCCATGGCACTGCTTTAATGGAAATGCTATAATTTCTTGACTGAAACCCAGCAATTAGGTTGGTGAGATTTGAGGTGTTCTGTGGTCCTTGCATATCGGAGCAGAGGCCTTATCTTCTACCACTAGTTTCATCTGCTAGTGAGTTTTGGATTTAGTTGATCTGCTGCTGGTCTTTCCTTTCTTACGGAAGCACCTTCGGCAGCAGAAGAGGCAGCACTTGAGAGAAATGAATAAGGAGAGAAGCACTACGGCCAGGAGGAAGGCAATGACATCCAGGGAATGATACTGGATCCAGTTGAGCTCATGAGCTGCAGGTCTCAAGTGCGGTGCCCCTTTGTGCCTCATCACAAACTCCACCCAGTACACGGCCAGATCCAGAGGGTGGATGGGTCTGTCGAGGTGAAGGTCTGAGAGACGCTTGATGTTCTCTTTGTACCTGCCCAGAAAAGAAGTCAGGTGATTCCAATGAAGGGAAAGGTAATGGCAAGGTTAGGGRGCTGCAAAAAATGCTAGTAGTAAACAAAGGAGAAAAGGTATCAAAAGAAGCAGGGAAGCTTAGTTTGAGCTGTCAGCAAAATCTCTGGGATGAAAGATGAAAGCAGCTGGTGGAAATGTGAGCCTGGCTGTAGAAAAAATATTTGTCAGAAGAGCAGAAGGTCTAAATAATTGTCACGGAAGCAGGGGTTAGGAAACGATGCTAGTAAGGTACTACTACCCAAAACATAAGGATGCCAGGGGAAGAGGAGGCCAATAAACTGAGAGGCCCCAATGCCAACAGAGCATGGGAGGGGGAAGAGGAGGCTATATTTTGAAGCTTCCCTGTGCTGTGATGCCTTAAAACATTCTGGGAGTACCAACTACAATACTGTTGTGTCTAGTGTTGTTCCTTGCACCACCTCAGTGTATCCTTGCATGTTGCTTCTGCTTTGTCCTGGATTTGTCTAGCTTTGCYGAGCCAGGAAGCATCTTATGACAAATACTGCTCCTTATAAACACTAGGGAAAAAGAAGTGACAGAGAAAACTGGTCTGTAGAATTAATTCCTAATAATGGCTATGTTTACTTCCCCCTGCCTGCTGAAAGGTGATGCCTTGAGAAGCAATACCAGCCTCTTGACTACCCTGGGGCTGTGCTACCTGTCCCCCTCCTCCTGCTGCTGTGCAGACAGCTGCTTTGGTCATGCCCATCAGTACATTATCCAGTTAGGAGGACTGAAATAGCAGGGCAGGCAGTCCTGCTCCTGAGGCTGGCCCACAAGATAGACCTTCAGGGTATCCAGAAGAGAGGCAGCTGGGATGGGGAAGTGGTTAGAAGGAGCCTCAGGAGAATGACCTGGCTGGAGTGCTGAAGTGAAGTTAGTTAATAATAGCAGGTGGTGAGGACAGTGCTGTTTTAAGGACTGGATGAGGCTAACCCAGGGCAGGCACTGGCTTCTCTGTGCTGTTACATCTTAGATGTGAGACGGGAAATTATTAGTATTATGTTAAATTGAAAGTTAAAGTGCTGGCAGCATRGTCCACACTAGAAAGAAAAGAGTATGCTTCTATTACTGACTTTTTGTCATTAATAACTGCATGCAGGGCATCGGATATGTCCTTTGAAGTCATTTCAAGTATATTCAGTGTCACTCCTGCTCCCCGTGTCTCAATTCTCTTGGCGTTGTCCATCTGGTCTCCAAATAAAGGCATCAGTACCATTGGCACTGCATTGCATATGCCCTCGTAAATGCCGTGTGATCCTCCGTGGGTGATGAAGGCCCGAGTCTTGGGGTGAGCTGTGGAGGGAGAAAAAGACTTAACAAACCAAATGGCTAAGCATGGTATCATATCCTTGGAGAGAAAGCTGTGCAAAAATAGCATGGGTGTGTATATGCATTCAGAACTTTTGACTTGGCGTGTGGTGGGTCATCACTTCTGGACAGACTTAGGGCTGCAGAGAACAGGTTGTTAYGGAGTATTTAATGATCCATGAATTGTAGAATTGCATCCTGATTTTGGTTTTGGAAACCCTTGGGTAATCTTCTAAAGCTTCTCACATTTTAGGCTAAAATCATAGCTCAAACAAAGTAAAAGAGGATGCTACCACTGTTATTGTTTGTTGTTTTATCTTGTCTTTCYACTCATTGCTTCTTGAAGGTCTCCCCTAGAAAAACCCTGTTACGTTCTCCCTATTTTCTAACCAGTATGTGCACTCCTGGCAATACTGTACCTACCATCACTTCATAAACACAGGGATCTACCARGAAACACTCTCTCAGGGAACTTAAATTCCCTCTTTAGTCCAGCAGAAAACAGCACAGCAACAACAGGTGGTTGAGTGCTGAGGCTAGGTAGAAATAAAGACCCACTTTGACAGCAAGCGTGATCAAGTGTGGGAACACTTTTCCAGTTTTCTTCTCTAATTTAGCAATTTTGGAATCACAAACAGATGAGTTTGATMGACTGGCCTTCATTCAAGCAGCAATGACATTATGGTAGTTCTAGGAGTCCCTGTGATGCAAGGAGTCAGTGCAGATAATGTTTTTTTACAACCATCTTATCAAAGAAACGTGCCGAGTTATGTACGGATCMCCCAAGGCATCTCAGACCTACCTAGAAGATCATTCTGTGGCAGCCATTTGACTAACTTTACRTTCTTGGGCAGGTTGGGGGGCACCTCTCCTGTGTAACGCCAGAGAACCTTGCAGGAGACAAAAAACACCAAGTTAATTCTCAGCAAGCAACCTCTTTCTGCTCCTCTGTGGGTTTTGGAAAATGCAACTGAAATGTCAGCAATGCACAAAGCCTGTTTAGTTAACAAGTGCAGCAGGGATGAAATTTCATTTTGCTAGCGGGAGCAGGAAAAAAAGAGGGATGAATGGACATGCTGAAAGCCAAAGATRGTGTATTTGAATTCAGTGTTGAACTGCAATGCTGTAGGGGTATAGGAGAACTGTACCGTCTGAGGGACTGTTCCCAAGGCTTTTGTAATTTCTATGGCTTTCTTCATTGGGATCTCGGAGACCATGGAGCCCAGAGAGAAGACCACAATGCCATGTTCTCCAGAGGCATTCACGATGGCTTCGAATTCCTGCAAACACAAAGAAAATCCTCAGTTAAAATCCTTTCTGTACCATAAGCTAGAATTTCTGTTTTGCATCCACCAAGTTATCTGGAAAGGGGAAAAAGAAATAAACAAAAAACAACAAAAGCACCATGAACAGGCAGCATAATGAAAATCCAATTCAGGATAACTATTTATCTATATGTGAGTCCCAGAGAAGCAATCAGAAGTGGATGACAGAACTGGCTCATGGATGAGTGAAGTGACTAGTGAATATCTGCGGATTTGGGGCCCTAGGCAAGATTTGGTATGGACATGAGGAAAAGTTTCCTTAGAAACATTCACGCAGCAAGTTCTGCTTGTTCAAAGTCTTCATTTCCTGTGCAAAAGAAAAAGAGGAATTAAAGCTGAACTGGAAAAGACCGTTAAACAGAACTATTTGTCCTTCTATTTTGCCTAGCAACCAGCCCCTAACTAAATACCTTGTGTTGAATTTTGACATTTATTGCACGGCAGATGATCTGGATTTAGAGATGACATTCTTTTCTGACCATGAAGTTGCAAGACAAAATGAACAACAACAAGAACAAAAAAAAAGAAGTATCCTGAATGTTGATAGCTTTATGTGTTAATATCTGCATTTATGGGCTTTGTCTTGAGCACCTTGCCCTTCTCTTTTTCAAGCGGAATATAGTAAGTTTTGCAAACAGATATACAATATGAGATTATGGAAAGCATAAAACAGCTTTCTGTGGGTGTTGTCTGGAAATCTGAAGATCTCCCAAGAAGTAGCATTTTCCTCCTTGCACAAGGGATGCAAAATGCTTTCTTAACTATTCCCATTTGGCTCTACCACCTATAACTTGCTGCTGATCTGGGCTCCATCTAATGGTGGCAGCCAACAGTGCAGTCCTATCTCAATTAAGAAAAAAAAAATCCACTAACCTGTGACAAGGCTTTTTCCTGAGTGCAGCTTATGCCTCCAGTGAAAACCATGTTGGGCATGACAGGCCTGGGGTACTCGAACACAAAATCAAATTTCATGAGCCAGATGGCTGCRTGGCTTAGGAGCTCGAGCAACGTTGCCTCTCGTTGGAGGAACTCTTTGATCAAACGGTCATACGGTGAGTAAAGAAACAAGCAAACCAGATTGTTACTCAAGCTAAATATGAAGTTGTGCACGCGCTGGGGAAACGTCATGCGATCTGTGTAGCRTGTGAAGAAGCGGGGCACGTAAGAGGGAGGATTTGGACAAAGSGTAGCTTGGAAGTCTAAGCTGCATGGAAGTCCCCGCAGGAAGTACACGGAAGGTACAGAGAGATATTCAGCCACTATCTGGCCACATGGGAAGAAAGGATCCATAAAGACGGCATCAAATGTGCTTTCTTCAAGGTACTTGATCAGCTGTTTGTCAGCCAGAAGGCGTTTGCAAGAATCAAAAAATATTGTTGTTATATTTGACATTCTGGGCAATTTTTCCAAGAAAGCTTGAGGTGTGAAAAACTTATAGCCCATCTTTTTAAACTCTGCCTCCACAAAGTCCTTGCTGTAGGACACGGAGTACGTTTTCATGGTGTAAAGGGCCGAAGAAGTGATTCGCAAACTCGTCTCCGGCGCAAGAACCACTATTTGGTGTCCTCTCTGCGAGAGCCGCTCCACGACCGGGCGCATGCTGAGCCAGTGGCTGCCATCGATAGGTACGACCAAAAGYTTTCCCCCTTCAGAGAAGGTCCACAAAAGCAGGAAAAACACAGCCCGAGTCACAACAGAACTAAATCCTGTGATCAAAGCAACCATTTTCCTCATGCGGCAGAATGTCTGCAAGGTTTTTAAATGACTGTAGAACTGCTGCAGGGACAAAGAACTGCTTGGTGTGTTACTTTGCACTTGGATCTTAACAAAGGGAAATATTTAACTTCTAGTAGTTTTGGTGAAAGGGCGTAAGGGTAATATTTAATGCTTGCTTTGGTAAAAGTTTAACTACTACTCTTCATGGATAGTGATAATCTAAGCAAGTGAGCAATGCAGAATAAAGGTGCATGTACAAATTAGTGTGTTTAAATGCTGAACAGAGCCGTAAGTGGAAGGTTGCATCTTACTAGGAGAAAATGAGCTTATTAATATGTAGTTAATCATGAGCTTATTGATTTGACTCGGTTGGTTGGGCAGAAATCAGGCAACAGAAGTCTGATCTTTGGATTATTTTGTGCTATTAGCTTAAATAAGAGGTAACAATTGACAGAGAATCGCTCTGCTGTGAGTTGATATCGTTCCTCTTCAGCTTTGTTTCTATATTATGCCAGCTATCAGAGTGAAAGTCCAAAGTTTAGCAGTTAATGCCATCTTAACAATAATTTCTGCTGTTGTAACCCCTCTGTGTCCTGGAAAGCAGATTCTTGGAAAAAAAGAAAAAACAAAAGAACAGAACAGAAAAGAAAAGAGAAATAAAAAAAGGCTTTTTGCCCTTTTGCTGGAAAGCAGTGTTTGCAACTCACATCTGCACTATTTAAACAGACCACTGGGGAGATCCAAGTCAAACAGTGCGAGTAAATAAAACCCCGAAGGCTTCATTTTCCAATCATGTATGTTATCTTTCAAAGCTATTTGCATGAATTGAGAGGCAAAACAACTCCCTTTTCCTGTGTTTGATTATGTACCTTGCTAAGTTTTGCAGTATTCTTCTGCATCCTCAGTCTCTAAAACGCACCATGCATATGCGTAGACTTAGTTCTAAAATTTCCAATCTTTCTGTCCAATTAAGTCTCCAGAAATTATCGTAAATTTCGCATCCATTTGGGATATTAAAACTTAACCTAATCTCTCCCTGGCAGAAACCTTTCATCTTCTCGCAATGCAACAAATCTGCATTTTTTTGATCATCTAGAGCCTGAGATTCCCACTTGGAAGTCACGACATCTTGGCATACAATCACATATTATCTCAAGCCTACATACTACTATAGGAGTATGTATTTAAAAAGGATTTAAAAAAAATAAAAAAGCAACATTCTTAATCTCTAATAATTCTCAGCCTAGAAATGACTAACCTTTGATARCTGCTGCTTCTGCATACAGTTGATGCCTCCAACATAGAACATATTTGGCATTATTGGACGTGGATACTCAAAAATGAAGTCATATCTCATGAGCCAGATGGATGCTGTGCTAAACAGCTCCAGTAGTGTTAYGTCTCTCTGAAGAAGTTCAGATGCTAAGTTCTCATATTTGTAATAGAACAGATAGCAAAKTATATGCTCTAGAAAACCAAGCAGGAAGTTCTTCACACGCTCTGTAAACGTCATATGGTCTGAGCTGTATGAGAAAATTCTCGGCACGTAAGAAGAAGGATTGGGACACTGGGCTGCGCTGTAGTCTAAGCCACAGGGAAGACCACGCAGGAAGTAGACTGAAGGGAGAGAGAGAAAATCRGCAACGATTGGTCCGCAGGGCAACACAGGATCCATGAAAATGGCATCGAAGTTGCTCTCCCGGAGGTATTTCATTAGCTCTTCATCAYGAAAAAGATGCCGACAGGTATCGGAGAACATGGTGGTTACTTCCGATATATTTTGGAGTATAATTGTGATTTTTTCTAGAAGGGGAGGATCAAGAAAGCAATCTTTACCAATGGAATGGTAATGTCTATCCAGAGTTTCCTGCGTGTAAGGGACCGAGTATGTTTTGATGGTGAAATTTTCTGAGCCTTTCATAAGCAAAGAGGCTTCTGGAATTACAGCAACGATATCATGTCCCCTTTCCCAGAGTTTCTCCACAACCACACGCATGCTCAGCCAGTGACTTCCATCCTGAGGCACAACCAAGAGCTTCCCGGCTTCTGCCAGACTCCAGAAAGACAGAAGAAGAACAAGGCCAGCATTTATCTGGTACCTCCACATAACTCTCATGAAGCTATTGACAAGAAAGGAAAGAAGGAAAAAACAGAACTGCTCTTTCCTAGCTTTTCCAAGCAATATATGAAAGCAACAACAAGTAGGTCCTCATTTATAGCTYCACGCTCTTTAACCTTTACCTCTACAGAATATTTGATAAAAGAGGTTGTTGGAGTTCAAAGATCATATTTTAAACTAGGCTAAAAACATTGATAAGAGGGCTATCAMGGGAGTTCTAGCATCAAATATTTGACTTTATCTTGCACGGTGCAGCACAATTAGGAGGCTCTTAGATTAGACATAGGAGCTGTGTATAGAGGGGTTTTTCTGGGTCATGGTAGTTCAAAGTGAGTCACTGTGCACTTGGTTGTACTGTGCCAGCTTCAAGTCAGGAGTGCCTCTTCCCAACTTTCATTCCCATTAAGTTTCTCTAGAGAGTTTATTCTAAAAAGCATAACCTTCAGGAAAACTGCTGTTGTGCTGTTGACATGAAAGACCCAATTCCACAACTTTCTTTCTGAAGCCTTTGCTAAGAAGGGTTTCCAGAGGTCACAGAGTATGTTTGAAAATGTGAGGATCCAGCATTCAAAGCAGCGGGGGTCACTGGAGTTTGGATAACATATTAACCAAACTCCTTTTTACGTAGTTGGTGATGCAGCAGAACTTGCAGTCTTTGCTCAAGAGGGTCGAAAGAGTTCATAGCTAGGTGGCTCTGGGCCAAACTACTTTTCAAAAGTCCTTAGAATAGCTACTTTTTAAAAAAAAGTTACTAATGCTTGCTGGTGGTTTCCAAGACTGAGTTTCCAAGCTATTTCTATATATGTTGTACTACAAATCTGAAGCTTGAGCTCTAGATGCACCAGATACTTCCCATCTATTTCTACTGAATGAACAGTCAAGAGTGGACCACCAAAGAGGCAAGTGTGGCTCTGGATGGGGCTGCATTTGTGATGGCTTGGGCAAGCTGAAGCTTTTGCGTGGGCCAGAGAAGTGTCAAATCCACATCGCTATTGAGCTTGCGGTGTTTCATTCCTGGTGCTAGAAAAGTCTCCCCACCTTCCTGAAGGCTTTGGTGACAGAGTGTGTGTGCAGGGAGAGAAGAGCAGCTTCAGGAAAAGCAGCTCTCAGGTAAGGGAGCCTCAAGACCAGGCAGGGGGAACGTGTACTTATTGGAAGAGGGATAGAGCACCATGGTACTAATGAACGCTGATCTCTGAAACTCTTGGCCAAAACCAGGTGTGAAAGAGGTGTTCTAGAATGGTGTCTAGAATGACAAGATTAGTGAATACTTAGGCATGATAAAAATGATATATTCAGTGTCAGAGGAGGACTAACAGGTCCTGTAAAAACACAATTGAATGAGAATTTAGATGCCTCTATGGGACCTGTGACTGTCTGAAGATCTGGACTAGAAGGCGCAGCAGTCCGTATGACCGGTGCGTAAGGCAGGCTCTTCTCTTAGATGGTGATGGTGTCCCAATGCAGGACCAACTCTTTTGCTCTGACTCYCATCGAGCAGCACCATCAGCATCTGCTGGTTTGTGACGAAGGGCCCGTGAGAGTCAGGCCTGTAGTGATGTGASAGTGAGTAGGAAAGCGGTGGCCTCGGTGCCACAATGTACTGAGCAGTGCACAGATCAACTCTTGCTACTTGCAAGGGTCCAAATGTTAAAAGCACTTAYATTGCAGCAGCACGGCCATAAGCTTTATCAGCTTTATCCGGTGATTCTCAAAGAACTTCTGATATGACATCTAATCAGTGCTAGTTTATGGGGCCTATTTGGATTATGTGAATTGCCTTTAACCCAGGACACAGAAGTTTGTGCCACTGCAATCTTCTCTCTCTACCTTTTCACTGCCATGGGCTCTCCAATTAACTAATTCATGCACTGACTTGACCTGAAGGACACACAACCTTGAAATAGCTACTTCTACTACACTGGTTAGTACCAAAGGTCTGTGATGGGACATTGCAATCTGCCCCTTCACCCATGGCATTAATGAACAAATTGAGCAATACTGGACCCAGTATTGACCCCTGGGAGACACTGCTACCTACAAGGCCCCAGCTAGAATAATCACAACCCTGTGTGAGCTCCCCTGCTCAGCCCGTTTTAGTCCACTTCATTGTCTGTTCTTTTGATCCACAGTTCTACAGCTTTTACATAAGGATGAGGATTTCTTTTCAACTTCATCTCTGAGAGAACTAAGACAGTACAGTGTTGTAACACATTACAAAATATATTTCAATATACATCATCAGAGGCAGCTGTAATAAATGCAACATTCATTTTAGGAATCTGTTGGATTCCTGGCCTTGCTGAAAATTCCAAGGACAAATATTGCCCTAGGATTCAAAAACAGAATCACATTTCATCAGGCAAAAGGAAAAATGATTTCCTACTATAGGAAAAGACGTTACTCTCAATCAAGTGTGATTTACAAATTAAAAGATGCATGTGTCCATTAAAAAAAAAAAAAAAAAAAAAGCTAAGGATGAAAGTGAGGGAGGAGAAAACACTTTCTTTACAAGTTCTTAGGTAAAACACCCTAAATAGAAAGCCTTAACTCCTACCTCCAAAACAAAATCTAATTCTTGCAAAAGTAGAAGTCTTGTAGCATGTAGAAGTCAAGAAAAAACAGAACACGACCCACCTG